TTAATATATAATTATATGTACAGTACCTAATTTATATATAATTTATATAATACTGTCCAGACGATAGAAATCTCTCCGTAGCGTGGCGCTACGGACGGCGGGTAAGTAGTTCGGCTGCCCGATGACGTTTTACGTATTATAGGAGTTATTTTTACCGTTGTTTACGGATAATGCCACAATTTTTATAGGAATCATAACTATAGGAAACGGTTTTATAGGGGGATCTACTGTATATATCGAAAAGCAATGGACCCAGGATTGAACCTCGAGGAACGCCCTTGTTTGGCCCGAAAGAGCTAGAGATAATCTGTCCAATTTTTACCAAGTAAACTCTGTTTGACGTGTATCATTTTAACCAGCTTAGAGGAGTCCCTCTTAGACCAACATTTTGCAATTTTTGATACAAGAGTTCGTGATTTAAGCTATCAAATGCTTTTGAAAGGTCCACAAAAACTGATATTGCTATTTTCGATTTGTCGAGTTGTGACGTTATGGATTGTTTCAAATGCAACGAAGCATCTATCGTCGAAAATCCTCGTTTATAAGCGTATTGGTTTCTGTGAATAACCTGGAATCTGCCTATAAAAGTTGTAAAACTCTTCTCGAAAATTTTAGCCAATACTGACACTATTATTATGGGGCGATAATTTTCAATTTCACTTTTTGATCCTTTATTTTTATATAATGGCAAAACTAAGTTTTGATTTAGTTTTTCCGGAAAGTAACCGTTTTCAAAAGATTTCAACTTTAATATCAGTAGGATGTAAAGCCTTATGTAAATATGCTTTGTGCGTTCAATCATTATATGTATTTTGCGGTCATCAGCTGTATATAATATGTAAATTTTGCGCGTCTGTATATTTTTCTTCTTTTTACGATTATTTCTTATTGTACGCTGTTTTCTGCACTTCTACTTTATGCGATTCACCTATGTACAATACCCTCTGCCAATCTATATAGTAGCCGCTGCCTGGTAGCGTCGTGCGAACCAGGCGACACTTTTTGTGCCAAATAAAACAGATGAGGACGACGAGTAACAGCGGGCAAGTTAAAATCTATCGATGATGAAATTGCAAAAAAGTCACGCAACGATGCTTTGACAATGTTTGAATTTATCCAAAGAAACTTGGCAATTAATGCTTATGATAAAATGCCACCTGGTACAGGAACTGGAGTAAAACATTTGGTTTTAAAATATCAGGAAACTAAGAAGGCAGAATTAGCTAAATACTTTTCTGATCAAATTAAATCAAGAATGTCGATATTCACTTTCATTAGACGAATATACGCACTTGACGAATATCAATGTACTGTACAGTACACCATGTGAAAAACATCGGTCTCTAGGCTTACCACACATTTCACGTTGTGTAAATAAGAAAAATCACCCTTATGGAAAAAAACGATTAAACGAATTTAGAGAAGATTTGAATGGCTGAAGCGGAGATTACCACAGATGGAGCTTCGGTTATGGTCAAGATTGGATGGGAAAATGAATTTATTCATCAATTATGCCTCGCACACGTTACTCACCTGTGTGTGTGTGAGATATTTTATATGTAGAAAAAAGGCAACTTATGAAAGAGAAAGAACGAAGAAGAAACTATTGAAGACGGACGATTATGACACTTGTATTTTTTTTTTTGTTAAAATACGGCCACGCAACACTCGGGCGACCTGCCTAGGGGGAATGCGTTCCGAAAGATCTTTTAAGGGTAACTGGCTCCTATTTGGGCGTTATAGACGTGAAGAAACCCCGGAAAACTCCACGTCCTAGCCAAGCGCCAACCCACGGCCGAACTCCCAGTGTTGACGAAAAGGAACCATTTGGCCGCAGATGGGCCAATTAGGGTACTGTTTTAGACACAGCCTTCGATCACGACGAACCGTTAGATGATAACAGAGCGCCACAATTTATGAGAAATGGTGAACTACTTTAAAAAATTCGGAAAATTTGCATTAAAAAATGATTATATGCAAGAAATCGTAAAAGTTACGGCGCTATTCCATCTTGTTTTAGATGGAATAGCACCATTTCGATAATTTCTAGATTCAGCGAACTAAAAAATTGCATCCCAAATGTTTCGAGTGTGTGTGAAATTACCGAAATGATTTCTGATAGTGAATGGAAAGGTTTAGAGCAGCTGTTCTTAACCTTTTTAGTGGTCAGCACCCCTTGAATCTGATAATAAGCTCTCGCACCCCCTTAAAAATGCGCGTATATTTTTTATTTAAGAAAAAACATTTATTGCATAAACAAATGCCGTGTTTATTTACGATATATATTACTATATAACATAAAAAGCAATATTTAAATTTTAATGGCTAGGTTGTTGTTGTTTATTCATAATAATTCTATTAAAACGAGGCTCTTTTTTGAAAGAGCCACGCGTAAGTCATCGGATACATTTAAGCGATTTCTGGCTTTTGTTTTGCTTATTATTTTTGTTTTGTTTATTCAAGGTATGCTAACACGTCTCAACTAGTTTCTGTATTTCACGTGGCAATGTGACTACATTAACTGCGTGTACCAACGAGTGATGACGAGCGCTATGTGCCGAGAGACAGTAGAGTAGAGAATGAAGAAGCGGGGTACCGTGGTACCACGGTCGCCTCGTTCGTATTTTTTTTTTTTTTGAAATTTCTCTCGCACACCAGGATAAGAACCGCTGGTTTAGAGAATCTGAAACAGATACTTCGGCCTTTTGAAATTGTAACCGAGGGGCTTTCATCAGAAGCCGCTTCAATTTTAAATAGAGAAAAATCAGTGAAATTTATTTTCAGTAAACTGAGATCTCAACGTTTTTTGCTACAAAATTGAGACAAACTTTGTACGAACGTCATACTTGACGTAGATTGATAAACTACCGAGAAGACTCTGAAGTATTGAAAAAGAAACATGCAAATAATCCTTTTTGTTCCAAGATTTTCTTTAGCACGTACGGTGATACGACCAAGCCGTCCCGGTATTGGCGTTACAGATGAAACGATTTTTCCTTAAGATGAGGTATCGTCGATCCCAACGTCCTAACACTTTCGATCAGAGGTAGCGAATCAAGAAAAAGAAAGTGTCGGTGTTATCGATTATTCTAGTTGACAAGATACTAGCTCAAAATATATTTTAACGAAGATAAAAGATTGGCGCTTCGATTCGGTGAACGAAATGAAGTTATTGGAGGCAAACGGACCCAGCATCTCGAATCGCCTTATCTTAACAGTTAAAGGTTTTTCTCGGGCGGGTACTTTGTTACAAGGATTCGTTCTCAATTATCACTCAAAACACTAGATGCCGAAGGTGTTTTGGCGGCATATTTTCTAAAACAGCGAGTAAATTATATTTCGTAAAAAGTAACGATAAGTTACAAAAATTAAAATTTAGCGCAACACGTCCGATTTGCTTTAATTACAAAAACCGTGCAACGTTTTTCTTGTTTATTTTTATAAAAGAGATTCTATTTTAATAAATAAATTTTTTATTTTTCCGAGAGTTTTATTTTATTTTTTTGTTAGTTTAAAGAAATTACGTCGATATAGAGATTTTTATTTCAGAAAACCGGAAAAAAATAATGCCGAAAACCGGCGATACAAAAATGTTTTCGGTAATTTATCCGTAACCGAAACGTCGGAACATTTCGCACCCCCTACAAACTGCGGAAGTAGCCAAGCGCGGGCGGCAACTATCCACGCCTTCTCACTTCGGTATTTTTACCGGTACGATTATTTACGGAGCGGCCGAGTGACTTATTTGGATTCGAATCGGAAAACGTTGCGCCAGTGTTTAGGAGCGAGGAAATTAGTCGGCGTATTTTAAATTTAGAACAATAAACGTCGTCAGAGTTCGTAACTAGCCAATCTGTCCGACATTCACCGGCCAAGTAAGAACGACCGAGGAACCACTTCGGTTATTTTATTCGACCGTGGTTACGGTTACGGCCGAGGGGGAACGGGGGAGAGTGGGGCGGCCGACGAAAAACACAAACCGCCCGTTTTACGGGTTCGGCGTGGGCCTTTTCCGAGCGGCAATCGTGCGGCAGAAAATCCATTCCCGCCATTACTCGACGTTCCCCCTAATAAATTAGCGATTTCTGTCTACTCTACGCTGTATAGGCCTATACGCGCATTTATTTACTTTATTATTTTTTTTAATTTAATTTTTTTCTTCTTGTTTTTCTATTTATGTATTTATTTATTTTCTCGTTTTCTTTACTTCTTTCCAAACATTATTTTGCAATTGTCATCCGCATGTAACATCGACGTAATCGCTTGTGTAATTTCTTGCCCGATTACGCCAGGCAGTATCAGGCAAAGTAATAAAGATTATTTGATAATGATGACGGATTAATTATCGTCCGGGTAAAACTTTTTTCACTTTCGAACGGACCCGACAACTGCGGTTATTACCGTGGCGCTACCGGGCTATCTGTAAGCGCAATTACAATCCAGAGTTTAAATAAAGCGAACGTGGCAAACATTATTTTTCCCTTTCGCCTCCCGCCGCAGGGGGGGAAATCTTGGCCCTAAATATAAAAAATTACGAAAGCCCCTGGTGTAAGGGGCCAAATGACCGGAAAGGATCGGCCGGTTTTTTAAACGGGCGGAGAGAAAGGCGCGGCGCGGATTTACGACGGGTGACGAAGGACGCAGGCATTCGAAGATCGCCGCGCCGGATGACGCGGCCGCCGCTGCTTTCTCTTCCCCCGAATATAAAAGCGCCGCCTTGGCGTCCGACTTATCCGTTTCTCTTCCGGTCGACAGGTGAGTGCCGTTTCCCGCCTCCCGCGGGCGGAACCAGCGTCGAAAACGGTGGGTCCGGAGCCCTCCCCCTTCCCGGGATACGGACCGTCGGCGGTGGCGGCATTAAAACCTTCCGGCGGGGATCGTTTTTAATTCTCCCGGGCGCGGGTGGGGACCGGGAATGGTCGACGCCGCCTTTAAAATTTCTAGGAACGGCGGAGAGGGAAGACGACCGGATTTTATGCACCGGAAAAGGCGGCTTCTCTTCCCGACGGTAAATAATATCAAGTTTGCGTAGGGAGGCGAACCCGCGCCGTCTTCCTTCTCTCCGTCGTACGACCACCCCGGGTCTTTCCCGTCTCTCATAATATGTGGCCGGGCCGTTTCCCGGCGGAAGGCGAGGAAATTCGGTCCGTTACTTTTCCGCCACAGAAAATAAAAGCCGATCGTTTGTTTTTCAGTCGACGTCATCACCATGGAAAGAAAATTTGCGGTCCTTCTGCTCCTGCTGGGAATGGTGGCGCTGGCATCCTGCGGACTCAGTAAGTTCCCTTTTCTCCTCTCCTCCTCGGCCGTCCACCGGCGGAGCGAAAGAACGGCAAAAGGCGGGAGGAGACGTTTACCGACGAGAAAAAACGTGACGGGTGGGATTAGTCGGCATTCGCGCGCTTTTGAAAGGCGGAAAAGAGAGTCGCGGGGCGTAACAAGCGAGAAATACACCCGTTTGCCTACTGCAGAAAACTCGGACGGGCGGACCGGGCACGGAACCAATTTTACCTTTCCGGCGTCTGCGTAAAGGCGGCCGCGGGTTACGTAGGTCGAGGGGCCAGTGGCAGCGGACGACCGGCTCTTCTTTTTGATGCCTCCAACGCGTTCTTAAGAAGAAAAGCGCCGCGACGCGTATCTTTCCTCCGTCGCTCTTCGGCTTTAATTCTAGTATCGAATGCCACGCCGCAAGAACGGACGAAATTTCTCTTTTCCGCCAAAAGGCGTAACCAGAGTTTACTAAGAACGCCGGACGACCGGGCTAATTATCGAACCGTCGACGTTTCGCCCTAAAATCCACCGCTCGAAACGTGGGTCCGGAAAACGTCTCCACCGCCGGGCCTTTCCTTTCGTTCCGCCAAAAGTCATCCGACGACTCCCGGGCTAACGCGGGCAAACTTTTCAGGAGAGAAGCACGTGCAGAAATTGCTGAGCCTGGTGGTACCCGAAGGTCAACTGCGAAAGATCCTGCAGATGGTGGTGCACAAAGCGGCCAAGTCGCAGTTCGGCTGTCCGTTGTACGAGGGCTACTGCGAGACTCACTGCCAAGACATCAGCAACAAGGACGGTGACTGTCACGGGACAAAGTGCAAGTGTGAATGATGGACCGCGAGTCGTCTCTTTATAACCTCCGTGTAACTCAGACCTGAATAAAAGTCCAGCGTCCTCCTCCTCCCGGCCGCTCTCCTTATTTCGCGCCCGCGGATGCCCCTACTTTCGTGCTGGGCCGGCCATTCGACCCCGACCGGCGCCACGGTGCGGATTACGGCCTTAAACTTCCGGATTAAAAGCGCTCCGGCGAAATACCGAGCGGGATTTTACTACCCGGGGTATTAAGAAGTGGACTGCCACAAAATACTCTTTTCCCGCGGGAAAAAACCCGTCGTCGGTCTTTTCCGAGTCTGTTTATAATTTTTGCCGCCGAAATCCGCGCTTTTCCGTCGCCGCACACCCGTGCAACGTAACTCCTTTAGACGCGGGAGCCCCGGCGCCGGAAGAAGCGAAATTTGGGTATTGTCGTCGATGGGGAAGAAAAGCCGAAGGGCACGAGATCATCACCTCCGTCCTCTAAACTCCAATAAAAAGGATTTTCCGGCTCCTTCTCGGTCTCGGGCGGAAATGCCACCCGTCGGCTTTCCTTCCCCAGTAAACTATTTGGCCGATACACCCACCCCATGTCCCTTCGTGGATGCGGAAAGTTACTTCCCCGGCGCCTCTTTTGCATTTAAATACCATACTTGGATCGACGCCAGTTATTTGCCTCGTCCGCCTTGTTAAAGGCCGGAATATATTTTAAAGTGCCGGCCCAGAAACTTCGTTATTAATCGCCTTTGCTTATATAAACCCGTAATTTAGTAAACGGCGACGGACTCCGGAAAACCCTAGCCTAGGCCGCGGTGGAAAGCGGCATTATTCGGAAGATGGCCCGTCTCCGGTACATCCGTACCCGTTTTAAGCCGCACCCTCCGACGGCGCAAGTTTCGTAGAAATGCGCAGCGGCGGTTAAATAAACGAATGACACGTTAATTTACGTTTTATTGACGTTAGAGAACTGCGGAAACTGTTACACACTTTTACTACGTCCGACAAATGAGTAAATTGGCCGCGGCACGGACAGTTTAATATTTACACTTTTCCCGTGGAGCGGACGAAATTACCTTTTGCCCGGTTTACGCCAAATAAATAACGTCACCGTCCGCCCGGTAAAAAAGGCCGAGGAACGGTAGCTGCGGAGCCCGCTTCCCCGGGGGTGTTTTAAGCGCTGGCCGAAAATATCCTTCCCGTTTGGACGGAGAACGCTTCGATTGACGTAGAAGACCTCCCTTCCGGTCGGCTGCCTAACCGCCCGTGCTCCGGTCTTGGGAATAAACGCCGCGGGGGAAGAAGTTGCTCCGCCGGGCCAAAGTAGGAAACGACGAATTTACGCAATCCGCACTAGAAAAGTCCGGTGACTAGAAAGCGTCCGACGAACAACACTAATCCCGGGTGGAAATACTGCCAGTCCGGTTACGCTACCGACTTTAATTCTGGCCGAATTTAGCGCGCGGCCGCCGCGTCAAAACAAAATACACTTTTTCTTCTTCTTCTTCTTCACCTGCAGAGCGGCTCTGGTGGCCATTTCGAAAACTTCCCTCACCCCCTCCTTGGTTTTGGCCGAACATTCCAAATAACCGAAGGCGTTGATTTTTTCGGCCATGGAACGTCCTTCTTCCGGTTTGACCGGTTCCTGTTTCATTTTGGCCAGTTCCTTGATGGTACTGGGGTCGTTGCGCAGATCCTTTTTGTTTCCCACCAAAACGATGGGGACGTTGGGGCAGAAATGTTTCACTTCCGGCGTCCATTTCTCCAGGATGTTTTCCAGGCTGTCGGGACTGTCGATGCTGAAGCACATCAAGATGACGTCCGTGTCCGGATAGGACAGCGGGCGGAGACGGTCGTAATCTTCCTGTCCCGCCGTGTCCCACAGAGCCAGTTCCACCTAAACGGATACCCAGACCACTTACTAATTCCGATAACTCGTAAAAACACCGCGCGCGACTCTTAGCCGCGTAAAACCGTTACCGTCAACATACGCGTTACGGGAGAAATAACCTTTTCGTTCCCACCGATTATCCGGAATCGAACCCGTGGTCAAATTTGTCTGTCGTTAGACGTGGCATCGTCGCTTAGGTCGGGTATCGAAACGCCAAATGTTCGCCGCGCCTCGCCTATCTGCGCGTTCCCACGGGTGGCCCTCGCCCCTTTCCTCCTTCCCGTGGCAAAAATTTTATTCGTCTGGCCATTTGACAGACGAATAGCCGCAGAGCAGTCGGCATAGAAGGAAAAGAGTACCACGAAACGCCCGATACAATTTTCCTATTAACAACGAAAAGTAAAGTTGCTGGAGAAACTGAACAAACGCAAAGTTTTTATCATTTTTTATATCCTCCGGTCGATACAAAAGTAATTCCGGGAATGACTTTCTACTTTGGCTGTTGCTACGAAAAAGTCAGGGCGACCCCGCTTGCAAAACAGCGAAATGAAAAATTAAGTTTTCAAAATGGCGCCGTCGTCGTCGACTTTTAGTAAACGGTGGGCGTCTGCTAGCAGTTGGCGGGTTATAAAAAATTTTGAAAATGTTCTTTCGGTAATACGCTTTCGTTAATTCGGATGACGTAACGTTTAATGCCTTAACGAAGCCTGGCTTCGATCGCAGTATTTTTGTCATCAAAACAAGAACCGAACCATGGCCTAAAGAAGGATCTTCGTTGGTTCAAATCGTCGTTAAACACACATTACTATTATAATTCATCATCGGTGTTATTACCGGAACAGACCGCACCAGTTACGTTTGCGTCGTCTGTCCAAAAAGAAAGATAATGATGGACTGGCACTTTTAATACTGTATTTTTAATTAATTTAAAATATATGCGCTCCATTTTAGTTACGCCTTGTCCCTGTATACCGCACTTTTTCCGATAATCTATCCGTTTCAATAAAAACGGACTTATAGTGCGTTCTGGAGAAAAGTTTTTATTGAAATAACGTATAGGTAAGCGGGGCCTGCCGTCCTTAGCTTTCGATATCTGGTCTGGACTTTCATCTATTAATCCTTCCGTTCTCGAGATTAAAGGAGGACAGAGAAACAGCCGGTCGCTAGCGGAAATTTATAGGTCCGCGGCCCAATAAAATACCGAGGCAAAGACGATAGTAGTATTTAAACGCAGCCAACGAAAAGTTTGTTACGTAACGAAACCCAACGAAAACTCTTCTATGCAACGCTAACTACAACTACACTGACTCGGCGTCTAGTTTTGTTGTAAGTTACATAGGGCCAATTTACAATTTATATTATGAAAACTATTTTTTCTTTATTATTATTTTGATTATTTTTAAAGTAATTATTCTTTTATAAAAAAAACTACTAATAGAACACCAACTAACACAAAGATATTTGAATTTATACATTAAACGGTTATTCTTTTTGTAGATGATAAAATCAATTAGCAGCAGAGTTGTATCAAGAAATCAAGATTCATAAGATTTTTCAGTGTACCTTACAATTATATTTTAAAATTAAGTTTTACATTGAAATACAAGTTGTTATATTTTAACTTGTAAAATATTTGTTGTTAACCAAAAATTTGTTCTAGTGAGTCGTGATTGTTCAGTCGAGTACCAAGGTATCACTGTATACCAGGGGAGTGCCGTGACATTTGACGATAGGGAAGCCGTGTTTCTGTAAGAAGCCGATATCCAGGGGCAATCGGTCAATCGCGCGTCAGTGACTAGACCGTCACTGACACGCGATTGACTAGGGTCCGTCCATTCGTATCGTTTACTCGATAAGCCAGTAAAAACCGTAGACTTCCCTAAATGCATTTTTAATGTCACAATTACATTCCGAATCGCTAGCCACGATACGGGCTACGATTAAAAATAAAATAATAAAAACTTACTCGGTGAAATAAAATACGTGGTGGATGTACAGTACTAGTACATACAAAATATGCTTCAATTATATGAATATACTTTTAAATAAAACTATAATTAAATATAGCTTTGCTAAGAAACATACATAAAACTATAAAATATTCTTTACTTTTTAAATCTTAAAACAATGCACTTCGTCAAATAGCTCCCTACCAGTGGCTAATGGATGGAATCCAAGACGGTTGCGGAGCGTGCGTACGCGCGGACTGCCAAATCCCCGGGGTACCGATACCGGTCGACGTCAAATACCTCTTTCGTCGGATCGCTAGTATATCTCAAAGGACGCCACGGGGCCGTTGTAGATTTTAAACGTTTCTCACCATAGCCGTAAAAATCTAAATATGTTAAACTTAATAGTCATTTGTTTTCTAACTAATTCGTTTTAGGACCGGGTGTCGTCCACGAAAATTTCCAAAATTTACAACTTTTCGGTCGCTCTCGTCGAACTAGAAAAATGTGTCTTTATAACATCTAATATTTCAAAGAAATCACTCCCACTGTACTCGGCTATAGATTGGTTCGGTTAGGCTTTTATTTAAGTAAAATTTCGGCTTTCATCGGGGTTTGTTTATGTCCCCAATTCCCTAATCGCTTAATTATATTACTTCTTAAGTAGAAATAAGTCGAAACCGGTTACTTTGTACTGGAATATTTGTAGTCTCCGGGAAAAAAGTGGAAAGACAAATTTTTACGACAAACGGATACGTAAATCGTAAATTTAAGGAAAATAAATTCTAGAGCATTTTCTGTACCTGGTGCATCTCTCTCATTCATTAAATTTAGTTGTAAATGACGCTGTCAAAGTAACGGTTAATTTTTTAACATTATACAAGAATTGTACACGCTTTTTTCTACATCCCCTTAAAGATTGGACATACGAAATCGTAATATCAATGGTTTAACATTGAAATCCGTGAGTAACATAAAATCGGAGATCGGAATATATCAAATATTTTAACGGATTTTTTAAACTCCCGTCAACTATACAGAACTATCCTAAAAACATACAAGTAAATTCTTATCGGTCGGGTTAAGTTATAAATCTACTCGTTATTCGCGTAATCAGCCAAATATCTAGCGAGCGAGCGGGCGGCTAACGGCCCGGAACCGGTCCCGGATAGAATTGGAAGCGTTATATGTATAAGCATCAACCCTAGGTCGTAGGCTTCCACCGGCTAAACCAGGTGAGGTCGGTGCTTCGTAAAGCGCGTGCGCGAATTTGGCTTTTTGGAATCTGACGATACAGAGATTCCACTCTGCCACTAATAATCTAATATACAATAGCAACCTTATCTTTTTTTCACGTGTAATATAAAAATTTGTAATAAGATACGTAATGCGGTTATAATAAAATATTGCGCGATTATTTTCGTACACTTAAAATTAATATGTATTTATTTTTTAGAAAATAAGAGGGAAGCGGCGCTTCCACCACTTCTAATGACGGCACGCCACTGTTGTATACCTGTATGTATAAACGAGTATATATAGGCAGTATCCTTAATTAACATACTTACTTAATCCTTTAATGTAACCACATATATCAAATATGGTGATACCTTGGTACTCAACCCAACGATTATGTCCCACTAAATCAAATTTTTGTTTAACAACAAATATTTTTATTTTAATTTTGGTCATCAGTAAAAACAAAAGTTCTCTTTGATAATAATGAGTAACTAGTTTAAAAATAAAATGAAATCTTAAAGCTCTCTTTGAAATTAAGTAAAGGGCAACCCAACAACAAAGGGGCATGTGCCCCAATATATGAGTGCCCTTACTTTTTACAACAGTATTTTTTTCTCATTCTGCTAAATACAAGTACAGTGAGTTAATTTAATATGCCTCAATGTCCTTAATTTAATCAAAATATTCTTTCAATCACCAATACAGTGTGTATTTCTATTACAGTAGAACCTCGAAAACTCGGCCTAATGTGGACCGAAGGGTGGCCGAGTTTGTGAAAATGCCGGGTTATCGAGAATGGGGTTAAAAAAAAATAAGTACGAGTGTTTCCTCAGAAAATACTGTACTGTACTTGTACGTATTCTTTACTTGAGAATATAACAGAGAATAAACTGCCCAAATACCCTTAAACAAACGAAAAGTACGTCCTTTATGAAGGCATAGAGCCTTTACTACATGAAAATGAAAATTAATGAATACACTGTGTACAGTAATTTACCTGATAAGACAGACCTCAGAAAAATACTTTATGAGAGCTTTTATACTTTTATAAAGCTGTCTATAATGAAAATTAATTAACTAAGGATTTTTTTGCCCTGCCAGGGTGTGGCCGAGTTATCCGGAGTGCCGGGTTATCGAGAGCCGAGTTTTCGAGGTTCTACTGTAATAGGACTTATTAAACTGGTATATAAGATTACTGCAAATCAGTCACACAGATTTGTAGTAATCTTATATACCAGTTTAATAAGTCCTATTAATAGAAATACACACTGTATTGGTGGTTGAAAGAATATTTTGACAAGTACAGTGAGATTTGACTATGTTTAGAGAGTCTGGTTAAAAAGATTAGTATTAGATTATGAAAGTAAGTCAACAAATTCCAATAGAAGAAAAAGTATAATTTCTACAATAAAATTATAACTTCTGAAAACATATTTGCATAAAAATATTTTAATTCATCAAAAACAAATGATGATTAAGTTCTTTTTAATAATAGACTATACAATAATATTAATTTTTGCTATCTGATAAGCAGTTTTTGCCATCAACTGTGCCATTTTGTTATAATCAATTAATTTGTGTAAAGAGTTTGTCCTTACATTATCAAACTTTACACACACAGAATATTTCCAAAAATCCAATAATTTCAGTAAAATTTATTGAGAAAATTCAGGAAAACTGTATTAATATAAATGAAACAAAACACAGTCAAACTTACTTATAGTAACTAGCAAACAAGGTAAATAGTCCTTGGATGAAATGGAAATATCTTTGTTTAGTAAGAAAATAAGAATTAAATGGTTAATTTGACATTAAACA